GGGGCGTGCAGGTAGCCAGCGGCCGCCGGTGCTCGTCCCAGGAGGAGGATGCTGTTGAGGGGATGTGGTGCTGGGGGTGCTCCCTCCTGCAGTCTGGGGGCTGCCAGCACCCCTGGGGGAGGAGCAGCCACCGGAGAGGAGCACTTCATGTGCGGGTGCGTTGCTATGCAGCTGCACCTGGAAAGTACCAGGGAAAAACAGTACAAACGCCTGCCAAGCGATTGTATCCTAAGGAGATGCACAAACTTCAGCTGCCTTGCGATTATTTCAGACTGAAGAGCGGGCAGCCCAGGCTGCAGGTGTTGCCAAGCTTTTAAATTCACCTCTTCTTGTCTTTGCAGTTTCTTGTTACTTGTCTGCGCGCTCATGCGACAGGTAAGAAACCCTCCCGGACCCGGCCTCCCGGCTGGGTGTCCAGGCCGGCTGTGCCCCACATCTCTTGGGGAGGGCTCGGTCGGGGATTTACGCCAAGCAGCGAGTCAGTATATCGGATGACACTGTGATAAACACACAGGAAATGATGCCTGGTTTTGCCCTTCCCCCTGCTTCTCATGACAAACAACGTCTGACCGTCCTGCCCCTTCAGCACGGAAGCTGTGACCCTTTGCTTTACAAGGGATTGATCTCAAAGGGAGTCCGTCCCCCTTGAGCAATGAGTCTTCGTGAGCTCAGGCAGCCGGGGGTGGGGGGGAGGTGTTTCTGTGTCTGGCTGCAGCAAGGCTTCGCTTTCCCTGCTGGGAATTGTGAGCGCAAAGGCTCCCCCAGGGCTGTCCCCTTGTCAGCAAGGCGGGGGGGACCTCCACGTGGTTATCCTTTACCCCCTTGCACTTTTGCAAGGAAAAGCCTCTGGGGAGCCGCTTGGGAACGAACAGCTGAAACGGGTTTTTGGCTCTTGAAACGACAGCTGCCTTCCAGAGCGTGCCCCATCTTGAACTGGTGGCAGGAGGCCAAAGTCCCACAGGCAGTTCCCTCTGTGGGATCTCAGTGGGAGCCATGTTTGCAGTGTTGTGACCAGCAGTTAGGTGTGACAGGGAGATAAATCAGCAGGTGTCTCACAGGGAGCGTGTGGCAAGGATGCTCAAACACCAGCCTGCAGTTGCAAGGGTCTCTGTGGTGCCGGGCTCTCTGGGAAGCGTTTGCTGTGGCGTGGCATCTCACTAGGGGTATCGGCCCCATAAGAGAAACCATGGCTGTGTCCCCAAAGCACAGACCATTTTCTGTCAGCAAACATCTCTCTCTCTGTTGGTGTCCCTGCTCCTCCCTAGGGCAATTCTGCCTTACTGCAGGATGATGCTAAGCAGGGAAGCCATGCCCCAGGCTTTCACCTTCTGTGCTTTTTCCACAGTGGGGTGCTTCCACAGCTGTCCGCATCGTGTGGCTGTTCCTCAGTTGGCTGAGTGGGTGGGTGTGGGCTTGGTTCATGACACCAGGGGGTTCTGCAACACGCTTGTGGCACTGGTATCATCTTGTCCTTCTTTTTGTACTGAGGCTTACAAAGCACAAGTTCTTCCCAGCCACTGGGATTTCAGGCCTGGGACACTTGAGCAGCAGGAGCAGACAGCGATACCTGACCTTCCTGAAAGGTTTTGGTCTGGTGAATAATCAGTAAAAACATTTTCACTGCTGCTCCTAGGGCACAGACCATGTATGGTCTTGTGTCTCTATAGCATCTGTTGCTAAACCTCTGTGCTAAACCGACTGAAATAAAATGATAAATAAAGAAATATGTCTTCACCTGTGCTCCTGAAGCCATGTGGGAAGGGTGCTGTCTCCGTGGTGCCTTTTAGTAAACCACAGGAGTGTTGATAACGGGTGTTTCTGTTCATCTGGACTCCTGTAGGCTGGGAGATCATCCATCTCCTACCTGCTGGGGTTGCCTGGCATGCTATTAACCAGAAAAGTACCTTCCCCCTCTCCGCCATGTCCCAAAGTGACCTGGCAGCGAGGGCAGTATTGCAAATTCGTGTCTCTGCAATCCAAGAGAGAGCACAAAAATCCGTGGGCTGGTGAGTCCACCAGAGTAAATGGTTGGAAAGTTACTTGGAGAGAGATCCCTTAAACGCACTCTTGCAAGGGATGGAGGCAAAGGCACGGGGGTTTGAGAGTGTATTATGGCTTTGAGTACAGCAGCAGCTTCTTTATGCTTTGTTGGCTTAATGGTATGTTTAATGGCACATCTGTCCTTTTCTGCAATTTTGCAGGATTCAAGAACTTGCAGAACCCAAGAAAGCAGCTTGTGCAAATGATCCTAGGTAAGGAGGTACCCAGACAGCCCTGGCTTGAAGGGCTGGGGACTGATGGGGCCTCAGCTGGTGCAGACCCTTTGCATTTGTCTTGTGACTGCTTTCCTCTCAAGAGCAGAAGTGGCTCCAAAAAAAACCAGACTGAGATGTTTAGTGCGTGAGGGAGTCTCTTCAATTTGCTCTTTCTCGTTTTCAGTCCAAAACCTGAGCTTGACCTGTGTCTTGCCTTTGCTGCCCTGTCTGAGCTGCCCCACTGAACTGCAGAGTAGGACGGTGCTGTGGTGCAAGGGGAGAGGACCTCACTGGAGTTGCAGGCTGCTGTGTCCTGGGGGACACAGTCAAGCTTTAGGAACAGAGTTGCTGTCTGTATTACAGAGTCAAGCTATGGCTTGATGAGCCAGGACAACAGTCTCTTGATAACACCTCTTCTCTGCTGTCTGGATGGGTGTCACCGTGCCTGAAAAAGGCTCCACAAACCCATCACCCTGCTGTTCCCTGTCCTGCCTCCCTGGTACCCTCTCTCACCACAGCCTCTCTCTCGGTGGGGGATGAGCAACTCCAAATTTGCCCTGGGCACAGGAGAGTAACCACTAACGTGCTGCAAAACCTCACCCACTTTCCATGGCACACCCTGACCATAACATTATTATTATTTTTACTGTCATGCCTGTGGTATAGTTAGGTGGTAATGGTGAGACAAGAAAAATGCAACTGTGAAAGTCCCCCAGGGTTTTCAGAGATGTAATGAAATGACCCTTTCTGCACATCCACTGGGAACTGTAAAACCAGACTCATCGCTTGAAGGATCATTTCTTTTTGAGTTGGCAACAACCACTTCAACAGTGTTAGGAAATTCAGTGCCAGAGAAGGTGAGTGCTCAGGGGATGGCAGTGGCACTGTACAGCTGTGGGGAGCTGTAGGGACTGTGTGTGTGTCCCATCCTAGGCAGGGAAGGGTAGCCCCAGCAAGCACGTTTCACACTTATGCATGTTTCTAAAATGTCACACCCTTGCTATTCTTGCTAGGCTGGTGTGGGGAAACCAAGAGACGATCTGGACCCTCTCACGGGGTGCTGTGACAGCTCAACCATCCCCAAGAATAGTGGCACTGGCCAAGCCCAAGCAAGATTTTGGCAAGAACAAGTGCAGGTCAGTGATGTGCTAGCACACCCTGGGGAAGGAGGCAGCTCAGATGGTGCTCTCTAATCAGGGGGATGTGCTGGCTCCCAGGGGAAGGGGAGATGCCATCTCCTCTCCTGCCACTGCTGCCCCACAGATGGCTCCATGTCAGTGAGACCCACCAGGCTGTACTGATGCTTGGAACAGGGACTGTCTGTAGCAGGGAAGAATGGGGGCATAGTCACCCTGAGTGCTTGACTTCCAAAATGAGGAGGAACTGGGGGTGCTAAATTTTGGTGCCCTTTTGTTTCATCTTACCCACTTCCTGGCTGTGGGAAGGGCTTCTGCCACATGTGGTGGTTGCTGGTCTGGTCAGAGCTCTGCATTTGGATCAGCTGCCATAGGAGCCAGCCTTGATCTCAGTCTCCAAGCACATGGGAGCATGTTCCTCTGCTGTTACAAAAAAAAACCCAAAACAACCCCAAAAAACCAACAACTCTGCTTTGGCTTGGAAGCAGAGACATCGTGTGTGTGTGTGTCCATGCCTCGATGGAAACATGTATGTGTCACACCTGTGCGTACAGAGGGACTGTCTCTCCCTAGAGTGTTCCCTGTCTGTACTGGGGCTAATGCAGCCCAGCCAGGCACCTGGACACAATTAGCAATCCCCTGCATCTTGGAACCTGTCCTAAATCTTGAGAATAAAGGTTAGGAAGTGCCATGAACAGAGAAATCTTGCAGCATCCTGCTGGCTGGAGGGAATCCAGGTCTCTCGCCTTGAGTTAAACCTCTGCACTCCATGGTGAACAACCAGTCAAAGCAGTCCATGCTTGGGAATAGGAGTGAAAAATGATGTGCAGCTGGGTGATGCTGCACTACTTGAAGCAACCCATCTGTAGTTCTGTTGGAGGGGATGAAGCTCTTTTGGAGACAGGATGGTGGTTGCTAGCCTGTAAGAAGTTGTAGCAATGAGAATGGAGATGAAACCATGTTGCACTCCTGGCTTTCCTCTGCCTGGAGGAATGTCAAGACGTGTGTCTGTAGTTTTCTCTCCTCTGCCACTGTCATCAGTTCAGGGGCTCCATCCACTTGAGAGCTTCTGCCTCTGACTAACGGTGTCCGACTGACAGCCCTTCCTGCCTTTCTGCTCACCTCTTCCCTGGTGATGACAGGCATCTGCCAGCTGCTGTGGCTGATGGAAAGCTGGATGAGCATGCACTAGGCAAGGGGAGATCCCAAGATGAAAGGAGCTGCAAGAGCCACTGCAACAAAGAGGTTTCAAAGATCTGAACGAGATGCTGCCAGGTCTGTGTTGTGGAGTGGCTTCTTGAAATGGTCCAGGGAAAGGCCTAGACTTTGAAAGCCATGCACTGAGGGTGCTTAAAAGAGGACTCTGCATATGCAAACAGCATTTACCTTTAAAGTCAGGAAATCTCAAGTGTAAATGCCCATTTGTTTGTGGCTTTTCCATCTGCACCAGTGCCAACTTTTGTACGTGCAGCAGACATGGATGTTTAACCAGACTTAGTATACCATCTCCCAGGATCACGTTCTCTGTCAGTTGCCTTTTACTAACTCTTCTGTTTTGTTCCTCAAGACCCCTCTTCTTGTACAGCTGTGGACGGGAATCAACAATCTGGGAGCGTCCCCCGCTAGTGGATTTTGGCTTCTGTTCTGATCGGCTGCTGAAGTTGTCTGAACCTAAAAAATACCAGGCTGCTTACCTGCAGCAAAGGTGAGAGGCCAGAAGGCCTGTAGGGTGCTGTAGGTAGGCCCTCGGCTCTTGTAGCATCAGCACAGCTTCAAAGTAATACATACAGGAATAGAGGATGGGTACAACAGAGGGGAAAATGCAGAGCAGGGACTCTGCTGGGATTAGGACCTCTGGACTCATGGCATGAGTGGGTTCTACACTGGAAATGGCCACAAGACAAAGCTGCCTTCTACTGTGGCAAACATGAGCCTTAAACACTCCAGCTGCAGCCAGGTTTAACCAGTGTGGGGGAATGCCTGTGAGTGGGGGTGCCATGACTCTCTGCTTCCAGACCTCGCCAGTCCCCTGAATGGCCCGTGTCGCCTGCTGCGCTGAGCTATAAGGCCTCCCCGCGGATCCTAGAGCTTGCACGGCCAAAGGTGCTGCACCCAGAGTTCATGCTGGCCAGAGAGGTGAGGAGGTGGTTGAATGAGATTTGGAGGGGACAGTGTTGCAACAAACTGTCGTGACCTTTTACACCTGTGTCCTGCCCCTGGATGTGCCCTGCTGAAACACACAAAATGGCCAGGCTGGAGCAGCCTAGAATAGCAGGAGAGCCAAGGGAGGAATCTGTGCTGCATGCCCTGATAAAGCAGCCTGGGAAAGTGGAGAAACCTGATGGGAATGGCCTGTTTAGCTCATAGGGAGTACAGTCGTGTTTGTAGTTGGGCAGCTGTGCTCCTATCTGTTTATATCGGGGGGATGAGCTTGCAAACACTATGTATATTTTAACAGTGTTTTACCAGAAGCCTAATTTAGAGATGTATTTCTGAACTCGCTCCTTTTAGGCGGGTCATTGCTTTGGCAGGGGTGAAAGGGCTTGGGGCAATCTTAGATTACAGTCATTTCCATGGCAAAGGCTAAGTTTTCTGGCTGCAGTCTCTGAGCTGGGAAATAAGGGAGGCTGTGCTGGAGCAGGCCTTGGCATCAGTAACTCTGTGAAAAACAGGGGAAGAAGTCCCATGCTGGAGCAGTAATCACTTTTTCCTGTAGGAATGCAGTTAACTGCATCAGCAGTTTTACCCTGAAATCTGAGCGTCTTTCCTTAGCAAGGAAATTATTTGATTCAGCCAGGAAGATGAATATGAAAAACATTACTCTGGAAGAAATTTCTCTGCACTTTTTACCTGGCTACACAGGCGCTCATTACAGGTGTTCTTCTCCTAGCTATGAGTGGGTGACAGTTGGGGAAAAAAGTAATACTGGCTAAGACCTTGTAGTTTGGGTGAAAGAAAAATAGCAGGTGCTGGGAAAGTAAGAATCCTCCTTCCTGTGGCCGCGTCTGTAGAGGAAGGGTGTTGGGTGCTCATCACTTTGGAGAGGGAGCATGTCCCTGTGGGCTGCTCTGTGTCTGCACATCCCTCCCCCCTTCTGAACCCATGCAGGTGCCAACGCAGGTTACAAACCTCGCAGTCTTGGCCAGAGCATCCTCGCGGTTACAGCGTCTCGCAGAGCCCCGGGTCAGGAAGGTGACCTGCTGCTATGAGCGTGGCTTTCTCGAATCTGTCATCCGTCCAGTAAGGCAGCACCATCCAGGTCCACGCGTGGCAGGGAAGCTGGGCAGAGGGGAGGGCGCTGGGTGCCCAGTCACTGGTGGCTCTCTTCATGGCAGCTCTGGATGCGCTGCTGTCCCTGAGGCTGATGTCGCTGCTTCCTGGGCTGGAGAGCAGGACGTCATCCATCTGGAGCATGAGCTGGCTTCCAGAAGACATCCCCAGAGAATGGCAGACCTGTGCCTAGCCTGCAGTTGTGGGGATGAGGAGAGAGGGGCAGGTGTCTAATTGGGATCTCCAGTGTGGGGGGATGGGTTGGACAAAGGGCTATGAGTTAAGAGGAGGTTGGAGGGCAGGCTGTGGGACGGGCCACATAGTGATTTCTCCTTCCACAGCTTGTCTGGTGCTAGGCACGTTTGTGGACAGGATCACGTCCCATCTGTGCATGGTCAGTGGCTGTGAACATGGGTACACTGAGGTGCTGGTCACCCTTGAATACCAGGAGCACCTGTAAGGACCTTCCTCCCCATTCTTCCACAGGTTTCCAAGTTGGCTCAGGAGGCAATTGCGAGCCCTCGGACTCTGGAGCTGGCTAGGGCAAAAAGATTGCATCCTGACTATGTGCCTGCACGGGATGCTGAGTGGCCAGTGACGAAGGCTGCAAAGCATGCAGTGGCCACACCAAGGCTTGTGGAACTGGCCCAGCCTTGCAAAAGGTAGATGCTGCTTCCCTGCTGTGTGGAAATGATCAGCTGTCAGCCCCTTTTGTGCAGGCCATGGCACCTTGTTGATTTGGGTTTTGCTGGTGCAATTAAGCCACTCCTCCTCCACTTCCAAAATGTGTGGATTTTATATGGCTGGATGTGCTAATGCTATGTGGATTGTGGTTTAAAAAACATTTTTGAAGTGGAAGGAGAACGGAAAGAGAAGGAAAAGCAACTTTCTCATTCCAGTGGGAATTACTGGTTGGGACTCCTTAATTATTAACTAAAAAGTGACCAGCTGACACATGGCATGGTGTAGCTCATTCACGTTGCCCAGCACGGTGCAGCTGGCCTCAACCTGGGCTGCAGGAACTGCTGGGTTGGATGTTTCACAGAGGGTGAGGGAATGAATGCCTGACTGTAGTGGCAGTGACAGCTTCAGTGAGAGGTGGGGCACTCCTCCCACTAGTGTCCTGGTGGCAGCAGCAGCGGAGGCGTGACTGCTTTTGTCCTCCCTTGTCAGGGAAGGGCAGGGCTCAGGTGGAGGTGTGTCAGCTGGCAGGCAGCTTTGAGAGCTGGCCCTGCTCCAGTTGGCATTGACTGGCTCTGTCCTCGCTCCTCCAGGCCTCCTATAAGCTTGGCTCAATTCAACCCAGACGCGTTCACAGTGAAGGAGACTGCTAAGAGGGCAACTTGTTCTGCTCGGGTCCAAGACCTGGCTCGTCCGATTAAGCGCTAAGCTCCCTCAGAAACACAGCCCGCTGCTCATGCCGGCTGCCCCCATCACCCTTTGGAACATCACCCTCTTCGGGCCGTGTTGTGGCTGGAAAACCTGCTTGAACATGGCGGCAGCACCCAGCAGGAACATTTTCTTATGAGCAGCCACTTTTACTGGGCTTATCTGGGGAGTTAAATAAAACTGTCATTCCTTAAGAACAAAATAGTCACCAGGGCAAATGAGCAGAATTTGACCTAATGTGGGAAGCCTGTCTCCCTAGGACAGGTTATGTCTGGAGTTTATCACTCTTCCTAATTTTTTTGCTGTAATAGCTAAAGAAGTAATGAAACAACTGCTGGGGGAAGCCAGCACAGGAACTGTTCTTTCACATAAGTAAGTGTGGCAAACCAAAGCCAACGGCACACAGTAGGTTGATGCAATGCAACTCCTGATCTTGGGTTTCACAATTTTTGCTAAAGTTGAGAGATGTTCTCACTCTGTTCTCACTCACTCAACACTAAGATGAGTTCTTAGTGACACTCAAAGTTTTGTGCTTGTGACAGAAGTAGAAACACAAAAGGCTGCAAAATTCCAGATCCAGGGCTAGATTTGATGAGGTGCAAAGCTTTAGTACAGACTTTGGAAATGCTGGGGTGGCATGTGTGTTGAGTTGGCTTGGATTTGGGGCCTGTTTTCTCAAATGCCTGGAGAATGGGCAGATCCAGCCTTTTGCTTTGCACACATCTTTGATAACAGGTTACACAGCTGGGTTAAATCTGTGCAGTTCAGATACTCAGTTGTGTGACCCTGGGCAAAATAATGGAGCTCTGCATTGGGATTTTTGGAGCCTAACTCAAGAAAGCGGAGTTCCCCTCAGTGTAAGGGAGAAGGCACGTTGCAAAGACTAAGAAGAAAACAGATATCGGTGCCAGGCTCTGCGGAACAAACTCTGAGTTCCAGTCAGGTCTGAGAGTGAGTCAGTTTGGCAGCTGGGTTGCAGGGGAACAACACAGCCTGTGCAGAACATGGCTCAGGGAGATTGCTTTTATCAGTTTCTTGTGAGTTTGGTGTGCTTTGCGCTGGCAACCTAGCCACTGGCGATGGGCTGGGGATAACTGAGGCAAGAGAGACGCTCTCCAGCAAGGGACAGAAGCCATAAATGAAAACATGTGGCAAATTCAGTGCCAGTGTATCTTAGTCTTTCCTGTGTTAAGCTGATTCTCCTTCCAAAGGACTACAGGCAGGTGACCACAAACCAGAAGAGGATTAATCAGAGGATCCACTAATTGATGCGATAATCCACTAAGCAGAGGATTTTTGAACCCTTTTGAACAAAGTAAGGTCACTGGGCAACAGTGCTGGTTATTTTTTAGCCCATGTATTGTCCTGTAGCAGGATGGATGAGAGTTTGGGCTTTGTGCAAGAGCCCCAGTGCAGTTGCATCCCTCAGGCTTGAGAATGGACAGGAGGAGGCTGGGGTCTGCCCCCCACCCCACCCCATGGGGCAACCCCAGCACCACCAGCCTCTGCCACCTCGGGGCTTGGGGTGTGCATGGGCTGCCAGGGATGGACCCACAGATGCCTTAGAAGAGGAGGTCACCACTGTGGCGAGAGGGAAACCCCTCAGTGTGCACTGAGGCTGCCTTGGAGAAGTGTTGCCCTCCCAGAAGAGTCTGCCTCCAGTCACTGGGGCAGGGAGCACAAGCAGGGACAGAACACAGCTCTTCTCATCAAAAAACTTTCGTTTTTTATTAATGCATTGGAAAAAAAAAAAAAAAAAGAGACCAGTTCTTTCCCTTTGGTGACCTTTAACAGAAATGTGAGAAATGCATTCCAGGGAGGGTTTGGCTTGGTCCAACTAAGGTGCGGGCACTCAGTTTGCTGATATCCAGAGCTGACTCAGGCATCTTGAGCTAACCAAGATCACCTGAACAACACATCTGGTTTTCTAGGTGCCCTGCTTTCTGGTTGATCTGTATATTAAAGCTAGCACACATCCTTTGCCTCTGGGGATCACAAAGGAAAGAAATCTTTTTTCCCCCTTCTATGTTTGAACTTTTCATGGCAGCTTTTCTGCAAGCCTGGGACAAGGACATGAGATTGCTTTGCCCTGTGCAGCTGCTGTTAATGGGTGGGAATCACAGGACAGGTTATATGGCCATCAGAAGCTGTATACACATACTTATATATAATAATTTTTTCCTGGTTATGTACACTTTAAATAAAAATTATGTTAAATAGGGTATTACTTGTATCTCAAAACCTATTGCAACAGAAGAATCCCAAGGAAATCCACTCTGAAGGGCTTCACCATGGTTTACAGCAGGCATGGGGATCGGAGCAGCATCCTCTAGTCCCTGACAGACCCACTTTCTGAGGGCAGCCCTTCAGACTTCCTCCACTCTGCCAGGCGCTGCTTGAACCATTTCTGCAGAGAAAAAAACAACACCAAAACCAGAGACTGAGTGCACTGGGATGAGTGAACCCTCCGAATAACTTCGCTGAAGGTGCAGATGCGGCCAGCACATGAGGCCAGGTGAGGGAAACCCGCGGCACTGCTATCTTGTAGGAAGGCACCGCACTGTTCCCAGGCAGTACAGGCAGCAGGGCAGCCACTCCTGACTGAATGGTCTTGCTACCTATGTGTGCACCTCTTTCAAACTCATTTCTCTTGTGTGCTTCAGACCTTGACAGTGTGGGTGAGTCCTCTTTTTATTGCTGTGAGCCCAGTTTTTTCTTGCAAACAGCGTAAGAAATTGGCTTATGGAGCTGCTGGATGGTGTCTGTTTAAACGGCTGGGGCAGTGAAACAATCACTGCAGGTCCAAACCAGATAGGAATCAAAAGCTGAGCTGCTTCAGAAAGGATGAGATGGACAACACAGTGGCTCTCAGCAAATTTAAGGACAAATAGTTTTAAAAAATGGGTTAAAAATTATCTTAGTCTTCAAGCAATATGCATGGCTATGTTATTCTGTAGTAACTTAGCATCTCTAAGCCAACTCCCAGGGCTGCTGATGCCACTTCCACACAGCCGCAGTTTCAAATGTTAGATAAAATGCAGCCGGATAAAGCCGCACTACCTCCGTAAGAAGAGAGAGATAACTCATGTGCCGGAAGCACGGCTCAGCCTTTTGTTTGGGAATATGCCTGTGATTTGCTTTGTTGCTGCTCATTTTGTTGCTATATTTGTTCATGGCTATTTTTGAAGCTATTGTGGTCCGTAATGAGACAACCACGGTGCTCTCTACAAGCGGCTCTCGCACTAGCACTGCCTTGGACCACATCCAGTCAGATGATTGCCTGCCTAGCCTCCTCCCAAAAATTTCACTTCCTATGCTAAACCGTTGTCTCCTGTTGACTCAGTACCTCTTTGCGTCTCAATATTACTAAATTTTTTATTAAAATGGCTACTATATCTAGCCAATAAAGCACTCCAGATGACAGGAGCAATGACTCTCTGTGTCATACGCAATGCAGGCACTTTGCAGCTCACCATCCCAGTCTCGATCCTGTCCCTAACATGACCTTCATCTCCTGATCTTTAGGAGCGCCCTGGATTCGTGGAAAAAAGATGGCTGTCAGGGAAGATTTTAAGACATCTCCAGAGGTGTCCTGAGCATATATGGCCTGTGTTTACAACTTGCTTTAGGAAAAAGAATGGAGCAGTGCCATTTCTAAGGAGGAAAAGGTATTTCAGGGGTACTGCCTCCTTGCTGCCCCAAACAAGCAGTGCGAGGTGGTACCCACCTGTCACCAAAAGCACAGTAGAAGAGGCATCTCCTTTTTCACTCCTGCCAAGGACTATCAGTGCGATGGGTGTTATACCAGCACCCTTCCCTGGGACAGGCTAAACGCTGGCATCGCCTGCTGGGCTCTCATAGCCCTTTGGCTTTGCCCAGGGAGAGCCAGGCTTGGCAGCTCTCTGCAAAATGCTGCTAACTTTGCAGTGGGTTGGATTTCTTTTCTATACCCACCAATGCTGCTTTGGGTCTAGTAACTTATCAAACACCTGCATCAAAAACGGCTGCACTGCAACCTGAAGGAATTGGGAAGGAGCTGTTTGCTTCTGAAGCCCAGGGTAGCCTGCAGGTAGCCAGACGGAGCACAGAGCTCTGTGGGAGTCCCAGACAGTGCCAGCCTGTCCCTGTGGAGGGACATTTGGAGGCCTCCTTGTCTCCTGGAGAGGCTGACAGACTTGCCCAACATCTGGGCTTGGGGACTTTGAACTAGCTAATTGCAATGAGGGGGAGTGTGCTCAGCCTGAGCATAGAATCACAGAATTGTAGAATGGTTTGGGTTGGAAGGGACCTTTAAAGGTCATCCAGTCCAACCCCCCTGCAATGAGCAGGGCCTTCTTCAACTGGATCAGGGTGCTCAGAGCCCTGTCCAGCCTGAGGTTGAATGTTTCCAGGGATGGGGCTTTTACCACCTCTCTGGGCAACCTGTCCCCGTGTTTCACCACCCTTACCATAAAAAATTTCTTCCTTATATCTAGTCTAAATCTACCTTCTCTGAGTTTAAAACCATTACCCCTTGTCCTATTGCAACAGGCCCTATTAAAAAGTCTGTCCTCATCTTTCTTATAAGCCCCATTTAGATATTGAAAGGCTGCAATAAGGTCTCCCTGGAGCCTTCTCCAGGCTGAACAAGCCCAACTCTCTCAGCCTGTCCTCATAAGAGAGGTGCTCCAACGCTCGGATCATTTTTGTGGCCCTCCTCTGGACCCGCTCCAACAGGTCTAGGTCTTTCCTGTGCTGGAGACCCCAGAGCTGGATGCAGTACTGCAGGTGGGGTCTCAGCAGAGCAGAGTAGAGGGGCAGAATCACCTCCCTCGACCTGCTGGCCATGCTTCTCTTGACGCAGCCCAGGGTGCGGTTGGCCTTCTGGGCTGCAAGCGCGCATTGCTGGCTCATGTCCAGCTGTTTATCCACAGCATGTCCCACAGCACATCTCTAGGAATTGCATCTATCCTGTATCTGGTTTAATATGACTGTAGTTTCTTCAGACCATGAAGCCAGCAATGGTTTGGGCACCTGAGACTATCAGAAATGGGTTGGAAGGAAAGGACGGCGTGCATGGATTGTACATTCAGGGCTGCACAGCCCAGCCAGTGACCCTTGGCATGTGCCCTTGTTCTGGCTGTGGGAAGCACTAGCCTGGTCTCCAAGCCCAGGCTGGGGATAGGGGTCCCAGGCAGGGGGGGTGCAAGTATCCCAGTGGGACACAGGGCTGCTATGCAGGAGACCATGGGTGTAGGATGAAGGGGCTGTGGTTACAGGGGAAGGAGCTTTGGGGATACAGGGACAGGAACAGGGTGGAGGTGGAGGGAGGATGTGGTGTACAGGGAGGTGTGGTGGTGCAGTAGAGTTCTGTGGGTGTGGTTGGGAGTGCACTGGGGGTTGCAGAGGTGCGGGAGAGACTTGTGGGTGCAGTGTGGGGTGCAGTAAGGAGTACACAGGGTGCAGAGTGGTGCAGAGAGTGTAAGCAGAGAGCGTGTGGGGCACAGAGGGGTGCAGGGGTGCAGTAGGAAGCTTGTGGGAGGACAGAAGGGTTCAGGGGGTATGACAGAGGGCCAGGGCCAGGACAAACAGGAGATGCGAGGGGAGTGTGTGGGGCACAGAGGCATGCAGGGGCAGCAGGGCTGGTGCCATGGTGGGGGTGAGGGGCACACACTCACCAGGGTCTGCTCCTCGGAAAGCCCAGTCTCGGCTGCGATGAGGCACAGCGTGGTGGGGTCAGGATGCTTGTTCACCTTGCAGAAGTTGTACTCCAGGATCTCCAGCTGCTCCTCAGTGGGAGTCACTGGCTCCTCTGTGGCCATCTCCTCCTGGGGCAGGGCTATGGGGCCAGGCACTGTGGAGAGGGGCCAGCATCATTGCCCAAGCTGGGAGTGGCCAGTGAGGCCATGCTTGCTGAGCCCCAGGTTTGCCATCCCCATCCCCACCAGCTCCCCCTCCCCAGTGGCTTCTGGCCGCAGCAGGGCACAACTCCCTTCCCAAAGGCATGCTGGGGAGCTCAGCCGGGAGCCCCAGCCCCCCAGAAACTCCTGCCTCAGTTTCCTCACTGTGGTGACCGCACGCCAACAGCACTCAGCTGAGCTGTCTCACCATCCTTAGCTGGCGGGAAACTGCAGCCTGTCCTCTGCGCAGCACTCCCCTGTTGCTGTATTTATAGCCAGTGTGACTCCCAGGGGGACGATTCCTGTTTACGGCCGTATTTAGGCCTGGGCGTCACTTGGGAGTGATGTCACAGCAACGGGCATGTTGCATAAGGACATTAATTAAAAAACTTATCCTCTGGGTGAGGGGATAATATCTGTCATTCAGCCTAGTGGGGTATTTTTTTTTTTTTTCTCCTCCCCAGCCACC